TGCCTCCAAAACCCGTGAACATTATCGTGCAACTTATGGAAAGGTTCTCAGCGATGTTCGTTGACTTATGCTTCCACACTGTTATTGACCGGACTACGGAACACAACAGCCGGTGCGAGAGATGAGGTTATGCATGCGTACTGAATGCACAGTGAATTGTTGAATAGTCACGATGGCTACGACCAATGGTAACAGGTCAAGGCGTTATTATCGCTATCATCAGTAGCCGAAGAAAGGAGCGATTCTAGCCACGATGATAGCAACAGTAATGCTCGTCAGAAGAGCCTTCGTCGAAAATCCACTCGAGTTAGCCGATGCTGAGCTCGATTGCTTTACCTGAAGATAAGTAACAGAGTAAGCAAGGGGGGGGAACTCACAGTCTCGATCTCCTGTTCTAATCTCTTCTTATCCTTCTCCACACTAAGAGTGTACTGGATGAGCTCATCATACTTAGCACGCAGGTCGTCTTTAGTCTCAGTAGAGTCCTCAGTCGTATTAGTGTCACCACCAGAAGTCGAGGCCTTGAACGTGACACGTATCTTCTGTTCCTCTATGTCGTCTTTACTGAGCTTGCTCCAGTCCTCGCGGTCAAGGGGTCTGCCGGACTTGGAAACAGCAGTCTGGATGAGGAAGCGATCGTGTTGATCGATAGAAGAGTCCCCCGTCTGGGGTTGTAGTATGATCTGAATGTCAGCTGACTCGCCTGGGCTCAGCAGACCACTTGAAGGACGGACAAGGTACTTGCGAGGAGCCGTCGTTTTGATTTTATACGCGACACTGTACTTCTTGTTATTGTTGTTGTCAAGCCTCAGTATGGTTGTAACAGGCTGAGAGGGTCTGATGGGGAACTGAATCTCCCCAGGCTTCACAGTGACAAGCGTGGTGGCCATTATGTTGTGAAATCAACAACTGTAATAGGCTACCGGCGCCCAATGTCCCCACAATCGGGGTTGAATGTCCACACACGCGGAAAAATGTTATTTATAGAGTAGAATAGCGGGCCTTCGGCCCGCTTTTTACTGTGGTCCCTTTACGACCCTATCACGTACACCCTATACTCGAATAGTCCACGAAGGATAGACACTGGGGTTCAATTCCCAACTGCGGCGTTGCGGAAAAATTACATGCACTTTGCACAAACTGCGCAACTTGAGTTTTGGAACGTTTTTGAAAGGAAAGCCTCGCCTGACGCTGCTTCAGCGTTACGCGAGTTACTTGGGGTCCTCCCGTCACCTGCAGCTGTGGTACACCCTCATAGCTGATGTGGATGGCGACTGCAAAGTGCTGCAAACTTTGCAGTGCAAAGGCTGGAGACTGGGAGTGATAACAACAAGGGATCACTGCTATTCATTGTAGTGGAGAGTTTTCAGCTCATCCCCAACTTGTTATATTCATTCGACTCACTTCTGAAAAAATTCTAATGAATAATCACTGTCAACCACAACAGAAACAAGATCAAATACTTGCTACATATTTCTCACTAAGAAGTA